TTCGTCTCTGCTTCCGCCGGAAACGGAGGTCCTGCTTGTTTACGGTGGTAGTTTACTCGGCGGCGATGGTTACTCTTCGTCTCTGTGTCTTGAAGGCTCGTTGGATCCGAATTTGGTTAAGGGAAAAATTGTTCTTTGTGACAGAGGAATCAATTCTAGAGCAACCAAAGGTGAAATCGTATGGAAAAATGGAGGCTTGGGGATGATTATAGCGAATGGTGTGTTCGACGGCGAAGGTTTAGTCGATTTTTGGGTTTGATGTGTTTTTTGGGTAATGGGTCATAAACAGGTTGTAATTTGGGTTTAGATTGGTTCTAATTAGGTTTAATCGGTTAAAGCATCGGTTTGGTATACAATAAACCAATAAAACCAGCGCTTTGGGGTTTTAAATCTCGAACTTAGGATTCATGGACATTAAGCTCTCGAACTTTCAATTGGTGTGAAAATAAACATTTAACTTCCGTTTCATGGGTATATAGACAGAGGTCAAAGATCGGGCTTTATCTGGCCAAATACGATAGTTCTCGGGGGGAAATAGACCGTTTTTCCTATTCTTAAGTTACATAGTGTTGACAAATAGTTAAACGTTTGACATTTGGAACTTACATAGCTAGCCAACTGGAGGAGGATATTACAATTATTCTCTAAAGTTTAACCATATTATATTACACACGTTTGCAAGTTAGCTATATGGTTAAAGATAGATGCACTTGGAACCAAAATTAACATGATACTACTCTATTTAAAGAGACATCACATAAGATCAGGAGGTGCTTTAGTTATGTATAGTACATTGTATACACTTGAGATATGATATAATATTTTTAGTTAATTAGTTAGTGTTGACATATAGTTTGAAGTGTTTGACATTTGGAACCTAGATAGCTATTAGCTAGCTAACCGGAGGACAAAGGAAAAAAAAATTAGCTAGTTGTTGGTGCATGAAAAAGGATATCTACAATTACCTTCTAGCTAGCTAGGTGGCTAAAGACAGATGCACTTGAAACCAAAACTAACATGATACTCGACTTGAAGAGACTACATGTTTACATTTTGAAGCATAAAAGATCAAGCACACTGATGATTTTTTTTCAGTATCATTAGACCAAAAACAGTTTTATAATGCACCAAACCATATAATTGGGCCTGATCCGTATCAGTGGACTGCTACCTGTGATATTCAGTTTCGTGTGACGTGGCAGTAGGGCATTGAACCGTGAATGTATTTTTTTTGGTGAAAACAGAGAAAAAAAAATCATTTGCACTTCTCTTCTCTCCTCTTCACGGTGAATAGCCCGATTCTTCACAGACTTCACCTCTCCATTTTTTCTGTGTAGATCTAGGTTTAAGGTTTGGGTAGATGAAAGTCTTGGTTTGTGATTATTCTTCTGCTGCTCTCGTCTTCTTCTACCTACTCCTTCCTCAGGCTCCTGTGTAGCTAAATAATAAATAAACAATCTTTGACATTTTTCCCCTTTCTACCGTCTTCTTCAATGGCATTGATCCAACATGCTTTGGTTTCTGGGACCTCTGCGGTTCGATTGAGCTTATCATCCTCCGTATCACCACCGTCGTCTTCTCCTCCGCCGTCAAGGGTTTCTCTCCAATTTCAGTTGGAGAAGAAGAGTTGTTGCCGGAGAATGATATGCAGAAGTATGGTTCAAGACGCCGTTCAAGTAATTCCTTCGGTTTACGCCAGAGAAAATAGAGCGTCTCTCTGCTAAGGAATCACTTATTCTCGCTGTAAATTCTCCTCTTTTTATTTAGGTCTTCGAATTTCTTAAAAATTGAAACTTCCATTTTTAGGAATTGGTTAGAATTAGGTTGAATTTAGCATCTAGTTTTGGAAATCATTAGATTGCTTGGATGGATTCACAGTTTGAACTTTATTAGTGAATTTTTGATTGCTCTCTGTTGGAGTTCTGAAACCAGTTTAGATTAAAGTTCAATGATTCTGGAGGATTCGAGGCTCTAGTTATAGGGAAGATCATTAATGTGCAAAAAGATTAATGTGAATAAGAGGATAACCACTCTTGAGCGCCTTAATCCAACTCCTAGACCAACCACGTAATTTGCTCTGTTTTAGGTGAAAAGGTAAACTCCAAAACTGCTTTCAACTTTAATTTGTGTGTGTGTAAAACTGAACACTTATTTTGAATATAGATTATGAAACTGAATTGAAACTGAATTGAATTGAATAGAGATTAGGAAGTGCATACTTGAATTGAATTGAATTGAATACAATTTATGAAAATGAACACGAGTGAAACAGAATTGAAACTGAACACTTGAATTTAGTAGAGATTAGGTAGATATGGTTGAGAATGCAGTTGTCTTTAAATGGAACAATGAATACATATGAAGTAGATAGGAAATTGAATGGCATCTTTGTAACTTGTTGTTCTGTTTAATGTTCAATGCAAACTGTGAGAATAGTTTCTGCAATATTCTTTATGTCGTTGGGTTTTTGTTAAGTATTTGTTTAGATATACTTAAAGTAAAATTAAATGGTGATGAGACATTAGCCAGCTAGACTGAAGTTATGTTGATGGCTAGTGTCTCAGTGACTTCAATTACTAAACCAAACACATAAACCAAACACATTAATACCTGTATTCAATAGAAATTATGTTGATTTTTGTTGAGTCTTTGCCTTTATAGTGACTCTATGAGAACTTAACAAACCACTTAAACTGAACTAAAACACAAAATGGCTTCCACCTTTAACTTTTCCTCTTCTCAGTCCTTTACCAATATGTTGTTTAGTCAAGAAGAAAATCCAACCCCTCTCAGTCCTTCACAGCCTCCTTGTTCTGAATCCCAAACACCCACAACCTTAGCTAGAGAACCTAGGGCTTGAATGGATGAGTGGAGAAATGACATATCATCTGCTGAGTGGGACGAACCACAAAATGACTTTCATTCAGCATTTGTTTTGTTATTAGCAGTTTTTCCTTTAAAAATAAACTAAAAAAATAAATCTATATTTTGAACTCCAAGTGGTTCAAAACTAAGAACAAAATACTTGAACCACTTTGCACAGTAATAACGCAGGATAATTGGAGTATTCCATGTGCAATACGTCTTCTTCTTTTTTAGTTCTTTTTTTTTTACTTTTTAAATAATAAATGTCAATATATTAATTACAAATAATCTCTAACATAAATATGAGACTAATTTGACCCAAATGTTACTTTATATATCGGGTACTGATTTTTATTTTTACTTGCATTATATTATCTATTTTTGTGAGTTATAATAATATGTATAGTATTTTGTAAAATATTTTATTTAAATTTAAAATTAATTTATAGATATTTTAGAGTATTTATAAAAATTTTAAATACATGTTCAGAATATGTTAAACCAGTAAATTTTAAATTTATTTTAATATAACTGTTTTTAGTATGTATAGTTTATTTAAAATTAACATTTTTTATAATGTAAATATTTCACCCGCACGTCTGATCCACTTTCACCATTCAACATATATTTAAAGCGTTCGAACCACTTGATCCGCATTAGTTCTGCTTGATCCGCTCCTCTCGGTACGCTTTCTCCATTCGGAGCCCTAGAGTAAGATGGAGTGTTCCTGAAGAGAATGCACTTGCAAGTGTCTGGCTCAACACATCCAAAGACTCACTTGTGGGGAATAAGCAAAGATCAGCAGCCTTTTGGGATAGGGTTGTAGCATATTATGTTGTATGTCCTGCTGTCTCTAAGCTCACCATTAGAGAGGCAAATACTTGTAAGCAGAAATGGCAAAAAATGAATGAGCTTGTCATGAAATTTGCTAGCTGCTATGAGTATGCCTCTTGGACTCCTCGCAGTGGAAAGACTGAAGATGATATTCTAGTGCTGGCCTACAAGCTTTATCACCAGGATCAAAAAACCAAATTCAGTCTTGAGCATGTGTGGAGAATCTTCAAGACTGATCAGAAATGGTGCAATTGGTGTGAGACAAAAATCAAACCAATCAGGAAAAAAGCTAAACTTTCCGAGGTAGAAGAAGAGAGCGTTCAAAGGCCTATAGGGGTCAAGGCAGCGAAGACTTTAGCCAAGTCCAAAGGTAAGGGAAAGAGCCAAGTTTCTGTGGCTGGTTCCGTGGCTGAATTTCATGGTTTGTAGAAAGTGAAGGAGAAAGATTTTGCTGTCAAAGAGAGACTCTCTAAGCAGAAGCTCTTTGACAGCATTCTTGGAAGGTCTGATGGTTTGAGTGACATGGAAATTAGCCTTAAGAACACTCTTATCAAAGAGTATCTGTTCGGAAGTAATGAGTTTGTGTTTGAGAATGAGTATTCTTTGTGTTTGAGAATGAGTATTCTGGTCTGTAGGTATGTATTGTACAATTTTGGAAATTCTGTTTATGATTCAAAAGGTCGACATTTTGAATTAAGTAGCAGAGAGTTTAAGGTTTGATTTAGTCACTAGAACAATCTTCTATGGAGTTCACAAGAACCATAGAGTAGAGATTGTTTGATTACTCAGAAGTGGTTTTCTTATGAACTAGCTGGTTCTTTATTGACAATGGTTTGTTCTGAGTGGTTTTATCTCAGGTATCCAGGTTAAAGAGGTTAAAAGTATCAATGAAGAGTTTTGCAAAGCACAAGTTTGTGTGTTGCAGGTTTTAACCTTGGAGTTTGTGTGTTGCAGGTTTGTGTGTTACTACAAAAGAACGCAACTTTGTTTCGAAATTTCGATCCTTGGAGTTTCAAGATTGTTTTTTTTTTTTTTTTTGGTTTCATCCTTTGGGTCCATAGCGTTGACAGGTCCTGCTTCGTTTGGCTGTAGATTACAAATCTAATTGCTTTAGGGTTTTGTCTTTTTGCCGATTTTGGGGATGGTTGATCTTTCAATTGAATCCTCAATCTGATTGCTGACATTAGAATGTTCATTCCAGTTTTGTCTTAATTCCCATCTAGTTGGTGAAAGGGTTTAGATTTTGCTTGAAATTTATGCTTCAGATGCGTTGAAGTTGTACTGTTTATAATTCTGTGTTGTACTTGGATTCAAAGTTGTTGCCTTTACATGTCATATATCTGTTTTGGCTATTTCATGCCTCACCATTGAATCCTTCGTTTCAGGCCAATCAACCATTTACGAGAGCTATCTTTCAGGCCTGAGTTCACTTAAAGGGTCCCTGCTTGGTTTGCTTATGAGACTGACTATTGTTTGTGGAGTTGAATAATATCTGCAAATGTCAAGTCTTCTTAATGTACTGCAACATATCCTTTATATCAATGTGTTGCAGTATTACTAATCTAGCTTCTAGGATTTATTCATGTCTATCATTCCTCTGACTAGTGGTAGTTCCAGTCCTCAAATTTATCAGACTGTTCAGGGAGAACGTTTATTTTTAGAAAATAATGCAAAAATGACCCCTTTCTTTGGCTCTCCCTCTCAATTTTCATTTTTGATTCTCATTTGCAGATATATCACTGTAGCTCTCTTGGATACTCAGGACTCTCTAGTAGGGGAGGTATAACTGTTGGAAACTGTAGATGGGTCTGGCACAGCGGTGGAGTCAGGTTGTCGTTTCCAAGAGTTGAGTCTTCATCCATGAGTATAAACATTGCAATGGGTTGTACGTTTCAGCATGGGAGAGCAAAAAGCTTAAGTCAGGAAAACGTAGTGGAGTTATCTGATGAAAACGATGATCTATGTCCTGTGGAGTGTGTCACTGAGTTCAAGACCGATGATGAATTGCTTAGAGTCCTTGAAAAGTCGAAAGAAACTAATTCTCTGGTCGTGGTTGATTTTTATCGCACTGCTTGTGGGAGTTGTACATACATAGAGCAGGGCTTCTCAAAAGTGTGCAAGCAATCTGGTGACCAAGAAGCTCCTGTTATCTTCCTTAAGCATAATGTGAGTATTTGATTTCTCATCTTCGATTCAAACAAGCGAGAAGTAGTGAAAAAGTCCATTAATAGCTCAAATGCTATTTGCAGGTGGTAGATGAATATGATGAACAATCTGAAGTCGCAGAAAGGCTCCGTATCAAGTAATCCCTCTTTAGAATTTTGGTCGCTAACAACACTAAAAAAAACGAATCGTGAGTTTGATATACTACAATCTTGCAGATTAATAAGTCCGAGATAGAGCATGGTTAAAAGTGTTCTGAGGGGCTGCTCACATGAAGTCTTTCAAGCTTGAATCAAGGTGGAGAATGTTGAAGTATGATCCAACCTTGAGACTCATTTAGCATGTTGGAGAGAGCTAAGTCAGAACGTTTTGAAAGAAGATTAAGAAGAAGCTACTGGTGGAAAGAGAGGGTCTCAAGTCATAGAATAAAGAGTCACGTGAGTGGAGGTGAGAAGAAACGACACGATGCCGTTTTAGCTCTATAAGAGAGACTCAAAGCTTCTTCTTCACATACAGTACCAGACGAGAAGATTCAAGATTCTTATTCTCAATTTTCTGGGTTTCTTGGTGAGAGTTAGAGAGAGAGAGAAGTGAGAGAGAGTAATTCTCAGGTCCTTCTTGTTCTTTATCTTCTTATTCTTCGTCTTCTTAGATAGAGAGAGTTAGTGTGAGGGATCTCCATTGAAGAGCACCATTGTAACCTCTTGAAACATTGGATAGTGGATTCGGCTTGTGAGGAGCAATACCTCACCGAGACGTACCTCAAAGTTGCGGTTTGCAACAGAGGGAACTCGTAAATCTCTTGTGTCCTTAGTTTATGTTTTATCACGTAATCGCAATAATCGAAGAAAGCAAATCAGTGTGAAATTGAGTCTGATTTCCAACAGTGATGTTGGTTATTCAAAATCTGGGTTTTGGTTATTCATAATTGTTGTTATTAACTTGATTAAACAAGAACAGAGGTATTGTTTATGAACAAAGGTTTGTTCTTTCATTGAATCTGTCGGCTTTATGATGAAAAGTGTTGTTTATGAAGATTTTTTCAAATTCGATTTGGGTTTTCTCAGTTTGTTGTGATTTTTTGATTGATTGTGGTCTTGAGAGTTTCTTAATTTTGATATCATAATTAAGAATTTTCTTTTGAATGATTTGAAGGTTTCTCTTGAGGATTGTACCTTGAACAATGAAGAAGCTTTCACTTTCTAGGAATGCTCTCTGCTCAAAGTGTAACGGTTAGTACATTCGTTCACTCGACGTCATTCTTTTAATACGTTTTTCGGTGTAGCTTTGAATTAGCTGAAGCTTGAACTTTATTTTGATGGCCTAAACTGGTGGTTCTATGAGCAACATGCCACACTTTGAACCTTATACATGATTCTTCAGTTTTTAAATTTGACAATTAAGTCGTAGATTTGGATTTTGCTCTATAATGGTATTGGTTGGTTTGTTCTGTTTTCATCTATCTAATGATACTTACATTGTGGACTGCTGGATTCAGCCAAAGCTACTTACTTGATTTGAATCTAGAATGAAATTAGGATTAGCTTCTGATTGTAAACTATGTTTGTTAGTGGTATTGCAGTGTTCTCTCTCTTTTGATCTAATCTTTAGCTCGTTCTTGAATTCTATAATGGTTTTAGGATTGAAAAAGTTGTGTGTATGGAGATAATTGCCTCTAAAATGTCTTATTCTCTAAATTGCCGCTTATTATTTTTACAGAAGTTTAGAAATTGCCGCTGTTTTTTTAGAAAATTTGTTTAGCGAATATATCCCATTAATTTCGGTTGGTTTTACCACAACTATTAATACCCATAACCTCTTATGTTAACCCTAATTTTTATTTAGCGATCCCCACTCCACAGGTTCTTTACTACTCTTCACGTCTCACCACCGTAACTCTTCTTTTCTACAGGTAATTTTATTACTTTTTTGATCATAAAACTGGCTTTGTTGATGAATTTTCTTGTTAATTTCGAACTTTGTAACTGAGTTTCTTTATCTATTTCATGAACTCATGTAGACATGGGGACTTGGGATGACTATATGGCTTATAGACGAAGGATGGACCAAAACCTATTGGGATCGAGTTCTCAACAGATGAGTGACTCCCCTACAGATGCTGGAGAACCGTCTAGAGTACCTGAGACGCCTACAAATGGACAAAGCTCAACGGATCCAGCAGATTTATTGACTCTGGACCAATTGCTTCGATCTGCAGGCCGTGCAAGCCTAAAAAAACTTGATCCGAGAAGAATGAATGGTGATGGATGGTAAATTCCACTTAAACTTCTGTTTTAATTCTGTAACTTTATTCTCTGAGTTTTTGTTCTCTTAGTAAGATTAGAGAAAAAATGTGGTCCGTGAATGACTTGAATGTGTTGTCATGATAGATTAGTTTATGTTGAATTAGAAGTCAACGAAACCTAACATGGCTTTTTTTTTTCTTAATCTAAGATAGTAGATTCATTACAGCCGAGTTTGATTATTCTATGTGCAAACACTATGTCTAAGCCACTTAATTAGTTACAAAGTTTACACTATGTCTAAGCCACATAAACAGAGCTATTAGAACAAGCGTATCATTGATTTATATTTATGATCATTAGCGTTGATTTCCTGTTTATATAACTACTCTTATATTTATTAACATACAAGGTTTGAATACACCAAGGGGATTACTAAGGCTGTGAAAAAAATTGTGGAGAGCGATTTCAAAGAAGTGGCTCCTAATTGGTCAACACTCTCAAGCGATACCAAGTTACGTTGGTTCAAAGCATTTGCGGTATGTTTTTTCAATATTTGTTTTGTCAAAGTCTTTATAATTAGTGTTACTATTTAGACATTGTTATCTATTTGATTTTCATTCTTTTTATTTGATCTTGTAGCAAAAGTATAATTGGTGTTATGAGATAACAACACTTGTTCAACATGAGTTTGAGACTTTGTGTGCATCTCGTTTGCTGGGATATGTCCATGAATGGAGAAAGGCATGGAAGCAAGACAAGGGGAAGCCCCAATGGATGTTAAACTCTGTTTGGATTGGTCTTATTGCTTTCTGGGAAAACGAGAAAAGCATCAAGAGAAGCAAAACCAACTCCAAAAATAAGAAGAGCGATCGTGGTGGCTTAGGGATAGCTAAGCACACATGTGGGTCAATGCCATATGTCCGGAGAAGAGAAGAGATGGTAATTTGTTTTATTTTTTGCATTCGATATAGTTTCTATCAAATTCAGTCCAAGTTTTCTATAATGACATATTTGTGTGTTTCAAAACTGTTTAGCGTGATAAGGTGACAGGAGAGCTCCCAGATATGGTTACTTTTATGGAAGCAACCCATAAGAGAAAGTCTGATGGTGTATTTGTGTGCAAAAAAGCTGAGTTGATCGCCAAAAAATGTCGAAACATGGAGCACCAAATTCTTAGTCAAAGAGACAATGATGATGGTGACACTTTGGACACTAACCATCTTACACAAGAAGAAATTGATGCCATTTACCAAGGGGTAAAATGCTGAAACTTCTATTATTTTTTTAATTATACTTCATGTGTTTTTTTTTTAACCATACTTTATGTTTTTAATACTTTTTTCTTATGTGAATTGTAACATGCAATTTTGAAATTCCAGGAAGTTCAAGTGAAGAAAGGCAAGAAATTTGGCTATGGTTCAATTCCGGAAGCTGATCCTAGTGTTGATGCATCTCCAAATTATGAAGAAATGTATCTTGAGACTCAAGAAAAGCTCCAGAAATCGGACCAAGTGATTGAGGGAATGCTGCTGAAGTTTAAAGATGTTGATTTTTGGATTACTATGATGCAGAACAAGTTTCCAAATGAAGTTCCACTTTCCATGATAACAACAATGAACACCAATGGTGGTCTTTGAATTCAATTAGTAATTTGGTTTCATTAAGACTTTAAGCATTTAGGATTGTTTTTCAATATTATGTTTGGATGTTTAAGTGTTTTGAGATTTTAAAATGTTTACTTATTATGATTTTTAATTTTATTATTTATTTTTATTTCTATTTATTTCTTAATTTTATAATATTTTTTTATTAAAAATTACCTAAAAAATATATTCCAACAAAAAGTTGATAAATGGTTCATGAGACATTTTGTTGGAAACTTAGTAGAATATATCAACATATTTTCAACGATTAATTTCTGATAAAATTCCAACAATTAAATCATCAGAAGTTTTTCACAAATTTACAAGAAAAATAGCAATAAATTTTCAACAATTAAATTATCAATAAATTTCTATGAAGTTCCAACAAATAAGGCGTCGGAAATTTCTCACACGTTTCCAAGAAAACATTTCAACAAAGTTGCAACAAATATGTTATTAGTAGTTTCCCATAAACAAACTTTCAGAATTGTTGAATATTTGTGATAAATTATCAATGACATTCCAACAAAATATATGTTAGAACATTTCGTTAGAAACTTCACGGTAAATTCCAACAAATATCCAACAAAAATATTATCAGAACTATCCAACAAATTGGTCATAGAATAACTCGATGGAAACATTTCCAATAAATTCGTGACAAATGTAGATTTTCAACGATCATATTCTAACAAATATATGTTCTATTGAAAATTTATTGGAAACATATAATTCCTACAAATTAACAACATAGATGGCTGTTGGAATTTAGCTTTTTTCTTGTAGTGTGTTGGTTAAGTTTTTTGTTTACTTAATTATGTATATATGTATTATTATTTGATCCGATTGTCTTCTTTGCTTAATTATGTGCAGGAACTCCTCTGAAATCTAGTGGTGTCGGCAAAGAAGAAAAGGAAAGGAATCTGGTTCTCTGTTGCTTTAATGTAGGGTTGTATTGCTTTATTTTATTCGAATTTACTAAACCATTTTATGTGGTCACAATATTATTGGTACTTTATTTTTTGTGGTCACAATGTATTTGTGTACTTTATGACTTTGTTGTATTGTCACAATTTCTCTTATATATATATATATATATATATATATATATATATATATATAAGTTTTGTTTGTGTTCAATACAAAACATACTTCTCATATTTCTATTACAAAACTCTTCTCATATTTCTCAATCTCCTCTCAATACAAATTTGTCAATCTTCTTCCTAGTACTAAAATTTGTCAATTTCCTCTCATTACAAATTTATTTGTCAATTACCATTACCATTACCAAAACTTATAATTTCTCAATCTCGTCAATTACCGTTACCATTACCAAATCTCTTTTAATTGTTTTCTTCTCAAAATTTCTTGTACCTTTTATTCTTCTAAATTTCTCTAATTTCTTCTAACTTTCTTGGACGTTTTCTTCTTCTAAATTTTTTCTTGTAGGTTGCTTTTTATTTTTTTTAATTTCTTGTGTAAACAGAGTTTGAATTTTTTTATGAGTTTCTTTTAAGTTTCCTCTTCTGAATTTATGTTAACTATTTATAACTAAACTTATAATTTAAGTATTCAAAAAAATATCTTTGTTTAAGTTTTCCTTCTGAAAAAACAAATAATGGCATCTCATTCTAATGATGATGACACTTTTGATGATATTATGGAGGAAAGGTTTGAAAAATGTTTTAAAGATGGTTTAGATAATTACAGTAGACGTGTAGCGGAAAAAAAAGAGAAAAAAAGCTGCTAATATAGAAAGAGAAGGAAATGTTCTATTATGGAACGATTACTTTTCGGATGATCCCGTTTACCATAATTCCATGTTCTGACGACGATTTAGAATGAGCAATCCGTTGTTCGTTCGTATTGTTCAAAGTCTTTGTCAATTTTCATATTTCCAACAAAGGGGGGATGCTTCTGGAAAGCAAGGTCTATCTTCCCTACAGAAATGTAGAGCCGTAATTCGACGTCTGGAATATGGTCTTGCAAACGATGTGATGGACGAATACCTCTGCCTGGGGACAACCATTGTGAGCTAAGCCCTAGAGCATTTTGTAGATGACATAATAAATTTATTCCAAAATGAGTATTTGTGGAGGCCTAAACTTGAGGATCTCCAACGATTACTCCATTCTAGAAAGGAACGCGGATTTCCGGAGATGGTAGGAAGCATTAATTGTATGCATTGGGAGTGGAAGAATTGTTCTACGGCTTAGAAAGGCCAGTATTCACGCGGACATGGAAAACCCACTATCGTTTTAGAGGCCATGGCATCACAAGATCTATGGATTTGACATGCTTTTTTTGGGGCTCTGGGTACATGCAATGATATAAATGTTCTTGACCGCTCACCGGTGTTTGATGATATATTAGAAGGTCGAGCTCCACGAATCAGTTACGAAGTCAATGGACATTAATACAAAATAGCTTATTACCTCACATATGGTATATATCCGAAGTGGGCAACATTCATCCAATCAATTCTCCGATCACAAGGACCGAAAGCATCATTATTTGCTAGTTGTCAAGAAGCAGTGAGAAAAGATGTCGAGCGTGCTTTTGGAGTCTTGCAGGTTCAGTTTGCTATTGTTCGAAACCCAGCTCTATTTTGGGATAAAGAGCGAAAGGCAAGATAATGAGAGCATGTACCATATTGCACAATATGATTGTAGAAGATGAATGAGACCAAGAGACTCAGTTCGATTTATCTGATTTTGTACAAGACGAAGGGAGCGGGACTTCTTATGTGAACTACTCTTTTTCTACAAAGATATCTACATATGTGAACAATATGATGGCCAATCGAGCTCAAATTCGTCAAGAAAAAATGCATCGCAATTGAAAGAAGATTTGATTGAGCATATTTGGCAAAAATGGGGCCTAAGGTAATTGACTCGTGGCGACTAAATTATCTTTATTGTTGGGGTCGGATCCCACACATCTTCGGTAGGATCCACTTGGATCTGTCCACGTCATTATTACATAATAATCCTCTTGGAATTAAAAATATTTTATTATAAGAATCGAGCTTAACCAGTCGGGAGTTCGGTTCGGTCCAGTAGAAGAGCTCGATCCTTGCCAATATGGAGTTAGCTCTTATTCGACAGACAGTTCGCATAGAGAAAGGCCGAAGCGAGGAGAATATTGTTTGAGGCTCGCGGTAGCATCAAGACGCGGGAGTTCGGAGTCAGCAAGAAAGAGTTCGGAAGATCCACGCGAAGCCCAAGATAGTTCAAATTCAAGCCGTTTCGGTCAAATTGTAACGTACAAGATTAATGCGGATCAATGCGATTATGAGCAGTAAATGACCGCATTGATCATGTTTTCTCTATAAAAACAACTTCAAACGCATGTGTTTGGAGGAGGAATCTTTTGACTGATTACTTCTAAGCAATACAATATACTTTCTTTCTTTATTACTTTCGCAAGGCATTTTGTACTTCGTTCTTGTCAAATTTCTTTACTTCCTTTCTTGGTTATTTTCCCTTTCGAATTCTTATATTCATTTTTGCTGATTTTACAAGAGTTTTTCTCCACTGAAATACTTAAAGACAATCGAGTGTGAATCCTACATCCACATGTTGGCGCCGTTTGTGGGGAGCTACCACAAAACTCTTTGATCACAAAATCTTTCTTTCCCAAACCAAGAAACTATGGTTGAGCAGCCAGCATTGAGCGATGCAATCGCCTTGCTCTCTTCCGAGTTAACAATTATATGGAGGCGGAGGAAGAAAAACTTAGTCTCGCTAAGAAGCATCGGCCACCTAAATTAGTCGTCGCAAATCCAACACAAAAGTTCGAACTTAAAGATCAAAAAAGGTTCGGAGTTAATCCTGCTACTAATGCTGTAGGGAAACCCTCCCCAAGTAGAGGAAGACACAATCCTCCTAATACTTGGGTTAGAGATGAAAGTGCCTATTGCGATATTCACAGAGTAAACGGGCACTCCACCAAAGATTGTAGCGTACTCAAAAAGCACTTCACCGAACTGTGGACAGCTGAAGAGCTCGCTAATTTCAATATAGAGGAATTTGTTGAGTCTTATCACAAAGAAAAAGAAGAATACGAATCTTCTAATCCTCCTGAAAAGAAACATAAGCCCAATGGGCCTGGAACTCCGAACACTCCTAAGAAAAGGATCGATGTTATAATGGGAGGATCCAAATTATGCCGAGATTCGATCAGATCAATCAAAAGGCATAAGAAATCAGCAGCAATTCAAACTGCTATGGGTTTTTAGTCAAATGAACAAATACCTTCTATCTCTTTTGACAATTCGGACACTCAAAGAGTAACAGGGCCTCATGACGATGCTCTTGTGATAACCTTAGATGTTGCGAACTTCGAAGTGACAAGGTATCTAATTGATACTGGAAGTCGGTAGATCTCATATTTCTGAGCACTTTGCAAAGAATGGGAATCAGTAAAGCCGACATTATTGGTCCACAGGCACCATTAGTAGCTTTCACGAGTGACACATCCATGTCCTTAGGAAACATAAAACTACCAGTGCTCGCCGCAGGTGTTCCAAAAATTGTAGAATTTATTGTTTTCGACCGACCGGCCGCTTATAACATAATTCTCGGAACTCCATGGATATACCAAATGATGGCCATTCCTTCAACTTATCACCAATGTGTGAAATTTCCGACTCCCGGAGGAATCGGAACCATTCGAGGAGATAAGGAAACGTCGCATTCTTGCTACCTCATGGGACATCGTTTAAAGCTCAAATAACAATTAATGATAAATGCGAAGCAAAAAAACACCTCCCGTTACCCAAGTGGTCTCAGTTCGAATGAAGTTACCACAAAAGTTGAAATTGATTCCGAATTTCCAGATCGAAAAGTAAAAATCGGTACTACTTTAGATTCAGAAATCAAAAATCAATTGTTAACATTTCTAAAAGAAAATAAACATACTTTTGCCTGGTCGGCAAAAGATATGCCCGGAATCGACAAAAGTATCATTACCCATGATTTAAACGTCGATCCCAGTTTTAAGCCAATAAAGCAAAAAAGAAGAAAACTGGATCCTGACCGAGCTCAAGCGGTCAATGACGAAGTCGATAATCTTTTGAAACTTGGTTCTATTAG